GATTTAAAAAAATGGAGAATTAGATGACGTTGTCTATAAAATCAAAATAAATTGCAAAAATATTGCAGGCTGTGACAGCGTTCGATGAAAAGGCGTTCGATGAAACGGCTTCGATGAAACGGCGTTCGATGAAACGGCGTTCGATGAAACGGTGTTCGGTGAAACGGCTTCGATGAAACGGCGTTCGATGAAACGGCGTTCGACGAAATGTCCGGACCCAGTTTCATCGAATGCCGTTTCTTCGAACGCCTTTTCATAAAAGCTGTTTCATCGAACAACGTTACAGTCTGTAATATTTTGGAATTTACTTTAATTTTTATACTTCATCTAATTCTCTGATTTTTTTTCTTATTTTTTTGTTTCTGTTTTTATATTACTGGGTGCAGTGACGAGATAAGTTCCATCGTGAACATATCCTGCTTCGAGAAGAAATTCTCCATGAAACTATGACCCCTCTCCATGTCACATGAAACAATTAAGATGAGACAAAAAGAGAAAGCACAGACATTTAAAAGTGTTTTAAGTGTGTGTCCTTCATTTGCAGTGTCGTGGTTTCAGTCATGTATGTACATGAGTAAAGCTTTTCAGTAAGTCGCATACCCAATTGTTTTTATTTCTTTTTATGACAATTATTTTTATTTTTAGTAATTTGACACCACCTTCAAAACAATGTTACAAGTGACTACCTTAGCCTTAACAAATGCAAAGTGAAACATCTATAAAACACTGTTATGCCCCAAAACTCGGTACAGAGCCATAACAGAGAAATTCGATGAAACGGCCCAAAGCGATTCGTTGAAACGTCGTTCGATGAAACGGCGTTCGATGAAACGGCGTTCGATGAAATGTCTGTTCATTGGATGAAACGGCTTTCGATGAAATGACGTTCGACGAAATGTCCGCTACCCATTTTCGGTAACGGGGACAGCACTGCTGGGAGACATTTCCGGTGTCAAAAGGATCGGAGATACCAAGTCGAAAGCATGATAATCATCGAATGGTAGTGGACGTACACGTAGAATCATCCGGTGCAAAGTTTCGCTTTATTTCCTAAAAGAATCATGCAGGTGTTCAAGTATACCTTCATACCAAATTGTTAGACAAAACTGTAGAGAAGATTGTGAGTTTCTTGTAAAAGATTTTGGCTCCCTTGTATCCGGTCCGCTTTTCTATAGGCCTCAAATAACGAGGGCGAATCTTTCCTTTTGTTGCATTTCCACTTCTTCGTCTCCGCAAATTATGAATCTGGTAGATTGGTCCAGTGGCTTAGAGCTAACTTTTTGAAAGGAACCGAAAATAAAAACGGACCAGTACAAGCTGAACTATGGAGGACGTTTGAAGAGAGCCTGTCGTAATGAAAATGAACAGCTCTAATGTGGTAAGTCGGGTCAGTCGGTTCATAATTTTTCATCCACTTTTGAAAGGCTCCGGAAAAACAAGAACCAGGACATGCTGAGTGCCGCAAGGCGCCTCGTTATGTTGAGGTTGTCCCGGTTTTTTATGACCTTTCGGCGCTCCTCAAATCTCACAATGTTCGGTTTCTAAACGCTGTTTTTATTTTCGCACAAAAATAAGACAAGCATACGTAATAATTTTTCACACCAGTGCAATTCAATAGAGACTTCTATTCCCAGCTAGCTGCTTTCCGCCATGCTTCCATGTGATCCTCCAGGCCGAGAATGTTTGTGTACAGTGATTAAACTATCTACATGTAAATTGACATGCACTATAAATCTGGCACTCTCTCTTAGAAGCAGCATGTTAGTGCGCATGAATCCCCCACCGTCTTGCCTTCTAATCGCGTGGAAGGAAAATGAAAATATCCCGGGCATGATTTGTGCAAAACGCTAGATTCAACAGTCGCCTCTTATTTCTACAAACCCCCTGGCAGATTCACTTCCATATACCGAGTCCTTTCTCCAAGAAGCGAGGTTTTGGTAGAAATTCGTTGCTGGGCCGCCGTTCTTTGTAGTGGCGCGGGGAAAAAAAATTAAGAGAGAGAGAGAGAGCACCGGGGGGGGGGGGGGGGGGGAGGGGGGGGATGCAACAATTTTTGCAAGCTAAAATGTGTTTGTTTGTTTATTGCGACAATTGCGACGTTTTTTTGCGGGTAGGTATGCCTTTGTTTAGAGTGCTACAATATATGATGTAAACAATTTTACGCACTACCCACAAATGTTTCATCGTCAATGACAGTTTCTAAAGTATTACGCACTGCCTCGGGTGCTTTGACCGTACGCACTGGAGCGTCACAGGAGCGAGTATTTCCGCAAAATAAATACGAGGACCTGTTTCTCCCTTTGAAATTTGAATCGACCACTTCTGTGGCATCACGACTATCATACTTTCACCATGAAATCATAACAAATAATGATTGATGATGAAATTCATTGGGTCCTAACAGTAGAGTCACATTATTTAGGTTGCAAATAATTGGGCGACGTTCATGCGATGTTTTTACTTCCAAGTTCGAATGTGTCGAGAATAAGTAGCCAAAAACCCTGTGTGCAGGCTGCTTCCTGAAGTGGCCTGATATCTCCCCAATTCGGGAAAGGGGGGAGGGGAAGAGAGAAAGGTGTGGTTGTTGTGGGAAGATGATAATATTTATTCTCACTCAGGAGAGCCACCGGTCATTCAAAAGTTGACTCGCTCATAACGGGAAAGCCTGTGGGGCCACATCTATAGTAATTATGAGTAAAATGTGGTATACACCTATGTCACTGAGAAATTATGATCGTGCAAACGATGGGGCGTTGTGGATACAGGTGAAGCAAAGACTTATTTCACGACTGCACCGTCTTTGTTAGAAGCCAAGATTGCGGCTTGCTTCTTCCACCTTCCTGACGCCAGTCATGTCCAATGTTTGATAAATTCGGTAAAGCGTTGATCGCGGAAGCCCGCGCCAATATATAAAGGTCTTTATCAAGTTATAAATCAAACATCGAGCAGAGGTAAGGACGAAAAAATTCGCAAAATAATTCAAAATGGGATGAACAACCTATGAGGGAGATCTATGTTTCGAACAGTATAATGACGAGATTAGGGAAAGCCACTTGATTTATATGTCTCGGCAAGAAATGTATTATCGACAACCTGAAGCCTTTATTGTGCAAGCCAATCCTTGTGCAGACACGGGAATAGTTCCAGCAGCCGCGCGATGCCAGAGGGCAGCTGCTGCAACGACCCCAGCACACCGCGGCCCCTCGGTCTCCACCGACCGTGCGGCCTCGGGCCTGCGTTGGGCCGCGCTGCCGTCCTCAGGCTCGCGGATTGAGGGTTCCCGCGACAATGAGGGGAAGACACCTGGAAGTCTCAAGGTCGTTGTCGCGCTCGCAGCTAGCCGCTCATTGTGCGCTTTTTGAGGATTATCCGTACAAGAAAAGCCGACACAAAAGAAGCCCCTGACGTCACGTGACTCTTGGAATAGGGCGAGAAGAGGAACGGCGCGAGGGGCATTTTCCGAAAGGGCAACTCCGCTTCATTTTTTGTTTTGAAAAAACAATGCAGTCCTCTTCAGTAACGCCTAGGAAGACCACACGTCAAATATTACCAGGCAGATCTGTCTAGATGTTTCCGATCCGGCAAACTTTGCAACTTGGCAAGTTGCCGAAATCAGCTGAAGCGCAGACCGGATGCGCGTTTTTGCTCGGGATTCAGGCGCGTCGGCGTCAAACTGACGTCATTTCCTGCGCGCGTGCGCGCGTTTTCGCAGGAGCGTTGGCCGACCCAGAACAAGACGCGCGCGCCGAGGCGTCGAAGCGGCTCTCGCCCAATGAAGGTCGGTCGAACTATCACGTGATCCTGCGCGGTACGCTGTTTCGTATTCAGCACATTTGAAAGTGTTCAAAAGCATTTTTATTTTCCATGGAAAAATTAAAAAAGAGTGTTTCTTCTGATAAACAAACCCATTTTATTTAGGGCTGGGCGTCGATTAAAAGTTTTAACCCAATTAATCGCCACCCTTTAATCGATTAATTAATCTATTAATCGGTCTCGTTAATTTCCATGCATAATATTTTTAAAAAGTCAAACATTAATATTTGTTTTCTGTTTTTGCCTTTGCTGAACACCAGGTAAAGGGCCTAATACGCAAGTTTTATTATGAATCAACCTAGACGTGTAGTTAAGAACACTTCGAAGGCACTGACGCATTATTACTTCAGCTGCATGAGGTAAAAGGTTCGGTGATATTATCTGGCAAGAGCGACCTCCTTTGATTGATCACACTATAGTCTCTCTCTGTTGCGCTAAACGGACACCCAAACGCTATTGAAGTGGCCAAGAATAGTGTAACCTTCTGCACCTTGTCAGGAGTTACAAATCTTCCCCCTACAGTTTACTTTAGGCTGAATTCTGACCTAAAGTTTGCCCTTCATAGAGGTGTTCTCGTCCACGTCTGCATGGTGAAAGCGTTTACTTTTTACTTTATTTTGGTTCGTTAAAATATTACCGATTAACCGGTTAAAAAAATTAATCCCGATTAAAGCATTAATCGATTAATCGGTATGTTAATCGATCAAATGACCAGCTCTAATTTTATTTACTTACTCTTTCATTTAATTTTTATTTTGTAGTATTTGCGTCAACATTTACATCGCGTGTTGAGAATTCTAATATCTGGCAACGCTGATAATGCGCGGCCGGTGGTGCTTGGCTTTGTCTGCATGGGGGTGCCCTTGAGCTTTGCGAATTTCGCTCCCTCTCGTCCCGCTTTCCACCTTGTTGGCTCACCAGAATCGGAGCCGGCTAGCTGTGTTTATCATTATCAACAAGTTATTAAAAACGGAAGGTGACTACGTCTCTCCTCTGAGGCGTCAAAATTATTTTCGCCGAAAGATATCTCCTTGTGAAACAACCTTCAAAACATGGTGGCTCTTTCAACTGGCGACTAAAAATTTACGCAGAAACACGTTCTCAACATATTTATTACGGATGATCTGGTTTGATATGAATCAACGTCGTGCAAGCTTGAGTCCGTGTGACGATTCTCAAATTTCCAGTTGTCCTGCAATGACCCAATTGTCCATCTAGCGTATCTTATAGAGACTCAAGCGAAGAGAGAAGCTGCGTCATACTATGGCAGACGGAACTCACGTTTGCAAGTGAAATAAACGCTATCATCATCATCACTTCAGCTTAGCCTTGAACAGTACATTGTGGCAATGCTGCAGTGCCCTTTCTCTCAAATGCTTTCAAACCCGGGTGCCGCGCGCACTGCAAACCGGTTGCGACATTGCAATTCGCTGGCAAGTATGGCGTCGGAAATGGACGACAGCGTATTCGACTTGGTGAAAGTTTGTTGGACATGTTAAATCATTTATTGAAAATTGAATACAACGGCCAATCTCCTGTTGTTATCTACGGCCGTGGGTTGATAGAGATCGGGATAATTTTGGCTGTAACGTTCTCCCCCATGTCGCAATGGTAAACGTGCACGAATTAGCAGAAAAGATCCATAACGCGTGCGGTGGTAATATATCCAAACTCTGCAAGTGTAAGTATTTATAGCGCGCCATCCACTAGTTAAATTTGAAACCACAAATGGTGTACAGCCCGGCGACTCGCCGGCTTTGGCAATTAGGTCTCTGCAGGCGCTACCGGGGATGCGCCAGCTTTGGTAGTGAATGGACTAGCGAGCGTTGTACCTTCAGCCATTTTCCGTATTTTACTACACGGCAACGTTGCAAGAACACTCAGATGGGAAACTCACCGCTGAAACCTGGGCCCCCGGCGTCCACCAATACCGAGCTAAATACGACCATTTTGCCACTCTTAATCTTTTTTTCTTTTTTTTTCTTTACTGTGGTCACCTTCAGCTTGCAGAAAGCATGTTTTTGAGTAAAACAAACAAAGAAAGCTTTTCTTCTTGTAAATTCTATTGGAGTTTAGTACCAAATGACGTGCGCGTGATCTTTTCCAATATATTTAGCTTCAAGGTTTTGCAGCACAATTAATATTGTTTTTATACAACCTTGCCCCAGCGGTGATTTCAGGTAGCGCGTCCCGACCTTGGCGCATCGCATCCTAAAAGAGTGGTTCTACAGTGACGTTGGTACACAGTTTCCTAGGCAACACGGAGCTCGAAGCAGTGCAGGCCCATTCACATGACGGTTGAGTCGCGTTTCCGGACGCGTTTGCTTAAAGATTCAGTGCAATTGCTCGCGATTCGTTGAAGAAAACGGGCGGATCCGCTAAGCATTTGCGTTTCGAACACCAGTGTGAAGGAGCAGATTTAAGTTGATTTAAGCTGTGTCTTTGTTGTGTCGATCGAAGTTGCATTAGAAACAAATTGGAGACAGTTCACTACACAACGTTGCGATGTTTGGGACTGTACTACATAAGTACCACGTTGCATAAGAAACATGTCGTGCGCTGCAGCTGCGCAACATTTAAATTACGCTGCCTAGCAAACGTTGTACCTTCAACCTTTTTCTGACTTTTAGCACACGGTTTCCTAGGCAGCATGGAATTCGAAACAGGAGCCTAACGCTGTGCCTTTGTCGTGCCAATCAATGTTGCGCCAGAAACAGATCAGAAACAGTTTACTACACAACTTTGCGATTTTCACGTCTGTACTACACTGATACCACGTTGCTTAAGCAGCATGTCGCCTGCTGCAGTTGCGCAGCATTTAAATTATGCCGCCTAGCAAACGTTGTACCTTCAACCTTTTTCCGACTTTTAGCGCACGGTTTCTTAGGCAGCATGGAATCCGAAACAATAGCCTAACGCCGAGCCTTTGTTGTGCCGACCAATGTTGCGTCAAAAACAGATTGGAAACAGTTCACTACACAACGTTGCGATGTTTGCGTCTGTATTACAGTAATACCACGTTACATAAGAAACATGTCGTGCGCTGCAGTTCCGCAACATTTAGATTATGCCGCCTAGCAAACGTTGTACCTTCAACCTTTTTCCGACTTTTAGCACACGGTTTCTTAGGCAGCATGCAATTCGAAACAGTAGCCTATCGCTGTGCCTTTCTCGTGCCGATCAATGTTGCGCCGAAAACAGATTGGAAACAGTTCACTACACAACGTTGCCATTTTCACGTCTGTACTACATAAGTACCACGTTGCTTAAGCAACATGTCTCGCGCTGCAGTTGCGCAACATTTAAATTATGCCGTCTAGCAAACGTTGTACCTTCAACGATTTTCCGACTTTTAGCACGTGGTTTTCTAGGCAGCATGAAATTCGAAACAGTAGCCTAACGCTGCGCCTTTATCGTGCCAATCAATGTTGCGTCAGAAACAGATTGGAAACAGTTCACTAAAAAACGTTGCGATGTTTGCGTCTGTACTACAGTAATACCACGTTGCATAAGAAACATGTCGTGCGCAGCAGTTGCGCAACATTTCAATTATGCCGCCTAGCGAACGTTGTACCTTCAACTTTTTTTTACCTTTAGACACGGTTTCCTAGGCAGCATGAAATTCGAAACAGTAGCCTAACGTTGTGCCTTGTTGTGCCGATCAATGTTGCGCCAGAAACATATCGGAAACAGTTCACTACACAAAGTTGCGATTTTCGCGTCTGTACTACACTGATACCATGTTGCTAAAGCAACATGTCGCGCGCTGCAGTTGCTCAACATTTAAATTATGCCTCCTAGCAAACGTTGTACCTTCAGCTTTTTCCGACTTTTAATAAACAGTTCCCCAGGCAGCATGGCGTTCGAAACAGTAGCGTAACGCTGCGTGCTTGTCGCGCCAATCACTGTTGCGTGAGAAACATATTGGGGACTGTTGCGCAAACTCTCCCAACACTCCCACAACATTCGGAACATTCTCGCAACATATCTACAACATATCAATGTTACTTGGGTGCGTGAACTTCAACCTCATCCAAGTTGTTAATCAGCCCACTCGTGGTGATAGCATTCTTGATCTTGTCCTTAGTAGCTCTCCGGAACTTATAGAAAATGTTGACTCTGTTCCAGGTTTAAGTGACCACAATATCTTGCTCATTGAGTTATCGATTCCCGTCCTCACGAGGAACCCCACAATCAAAACAATCCGCGACTTCAACAAAGCTGATTGCGTGGCAATCAATCAGCGCTTATCTTCCTGTTATCAAACATACGCCGAAAACGTTTTTTCAAGGTCGGTTAAAGAAAACTGGTTACTTTTTAAAAATAAAATAAATAGTCTCACTGAGCAGTTCGTCCTTACTGGCACTGTGCGGAGCGACAGGAATAACCCCTGGTATAACAAAACATTGCGTTCATTGAACAATAAAAAGCAACGTTTTTATAAAAGAGCGAAACGGCTGAACGTTAACTCTGTTTGGAATGAATACTTTGCGTGCCTCAAAACTTATAGAAAAAGTATTAGATCGTCAGAACAGAAATTCTTTTATTTAAATTTACCAAGAATTTTGCGCTCTAATCCCCAGAAGTTTTGGAAAATATTTTTGCCTAGAAGCACTCATTCGATTCATTTTCAGGACGAAAATGGAGTCGCTGTATCTGAGCTTCCATTGCGCTACTGTATTAAATAATTATTTCTCTTCTGTGTTCACCTGTGAAAATACCATTGATATTCCATGTTTTCCCTTGTCCGATTTTGTACCTATGGCTTCCATTGACATTTCAGCCGATGGAATACTTCACCTCATAGAAAGATTAAAACTAGCGTCATCTTGTGGTCCCGATAATATAAACCGGAAAATTCTTAGCAATACCAAAGTTACATCTGGTGAGTGTCTTAAATTGATCTTTGCTCAGTCACTGGAGCAAGGTTGCTTACCCTTGGACTGGAAGCTGGGCAAGGTCGTTCCAGTCTTTAAAAGCGGCGATCGTAAGCTGCCCTCGAACTACCGTCCCATTTCATTAACCTGCATTCCGTCCAAACTTCTTGAGCATGTAATATTTTCTCACGTTATTTCCCACCTAGAAGAAAATTACTTTTTTTTTACAATCGCCAGCATGGTTTTCGGAGGGGCTTCTCGTGCGAAACGCAACTTGTAGAGTTCACTCATGAGCTTTTCACTAATACTGACTCATTAAGCCAAACAGATGCCTTGTTCCTTGATTTCTCGAAGGCATTCGACAGGGTTCCTCATCATCGCCTAATCGATAAACTTTCTTGCCTTGGCACTGACCCCCTTGTTGTCTCCTGGATACGTGACTTTCTTTTGACTCGCACCCATTTCACTGTTGCTAACAACCATAAATCAAACTGCAGTCGCATCACTTCTAGGATTCCTCAGGGATCCGTGCTTGGAGCTTTACTGTTTCTAATATTTATTAACGATTTACCTAACTCAATCACGTATAGCATCCGTCTCTTCGCGGATGACTGTGTTCTGTATCGCAAAATTAATTCTCACAATAACCATCTTCAGCTTCAAAAGGATTTAAGTTTAATTTATGCTTGGTGCTTCAAATGGCTTATGTCATTGAATATGTCAAAATGCAAGCTGGTTCGCTTTACTCGAAAAAAAAAACAAAAAAAAAAAAAACAAGCAACTTTTCATATTTTATTGGCTCCGACCTAGCTGATTCTACATATTATTATAAATACCTCGGTGTAACGCTGATAAGTGATCTAATCTGTAATAACCACATCGAAACTATTGTGGCAGAAGCTTCCTGGACTCTGGGGTACATCAAACGAAATTTGAAAGAAGCGCCCTCTCACTTACGAAAATTGGCCGACGAAACATATGTGCGACCGAAATTGAAATACGCTTCAGCCATTTGGAGCCCACACCAAGCCTGTCTCATCAGCCATCTTGCGTCCATCCAAAATCGTGCTGTTAGATTTATCCTAAACGACTATTTCCCAACGACTAGTGTTTCATCTCTCGAACATCAGATCGATATCCAAACTCTCAACGCACGACGTAAAATAACACGGTTAAGTTTGTTTCATAAGGTTTACCATTTTCACCCAATACTACGTTCCTCACTGCTTCTTCCTCCTAGCAGATCATCATCACGGCTAAACCGCTCACGCCATGTGTCGCGGATCACTGGTCGCACTAATTATTTTAACCAGTCTTCCTTCCCATAGACCAGGGGTGGCC